TATTCGCTTATATGCATATATTTAGATATGATATAGTTTTTCTATTTAGGTATAAATACGTATATTAAAAAAAAATGAGTTATTAAAACTAAACAATTTTACTTTTTTTTCTAATTTAAAAACCTTTATGTCTAAAAATAAAAGCTAAAAAATTGATGTAAACTAATTTTGTTTTTATTGAGAATATTGTTGGTAAAATTTTTTTCATAACAAAATGGATGCATAGAGAGATAATTGTTAATAATCTTTTTCAAAAGTAAAGAGGAGTACACACCTTGGGTTATAAACACATGATCTAAATTCTTGAAATTGTTTCCTATACTCATTTAGTATAGGAAACAATTTCCGCATGTAAGCTCTTTATAAATTTCATTAACCATGAGTGATTTCAAATTTTTTGTGATAATACTGATAACATTTTTGAGTTAAACAAAACCTCTAAATATTTTTTCACTTTTTTCAACAATTTTATTAACACTAATAGATGGTATACTTTATCAAGAACGATTTTTTAAATTTATTAAAGATAACCAAAATGATTTGCATAATACTGTGTAGTCACAAAATTCTGAGTAGTCAAAAGTTCCCAATAAATTTAAAATAATCCTAGGGCCAAACGGGCTGGGGGCACGTTCAACCCAACTTTTTTTCTAAAGGACCTCTTTTTTGTAAGAAAATTCTAGATATAGAAGATTTTTTTTTGAAATTGACGATTGTGCCCTCCACTTTAAAACCCGTGTTGTAGGCCATGAATTCAGAAACACGTTTTTTATGAGTCTATGTTTATTTAAAAATAGTATAACTTATAAAATACTTTAAAAGCGTCTGTCGTTTTACTTTTCTATTCAAAACTTTAATTCCTTTCTAATAAGTTTAGAATTATTTTGCAAGTATTCTAATTTCCTCTTAATACTTATACAGTAATAACAGTGGCGGATTAGGACTTCTTGGGGCCCAGGGCTATTTTTGTTTTTGGAGGCCTTTTTATGGGCTAGGGCCTAAAAATGACTTCAATGCCCCTTAGCCCCCACACCCTTGATCCGGCACTTAAAAACTGAAAACAACAAGCTAAATAAAATATGAAAAGCAAACTTATAAAACCAATTTAAGCTTGTCCGTATTTATCTTTCTACTAAACTTTAATAAAGTATATTTACTTTTACATTAAATATTAATTTTTAATTATTGTTGTTTTAGAATGCATACTCTTTCCTACATATCTAGTTTTGCCCCTGATAATAAGTTTTTATTCAAAATAGCTAATTTAAACTACCAAATAGTTCGTTGGATCCCAGTCTGATATATTTACTTATTTTTTTAGTCATAAAATATATTCGATCTTCATACATAAAATATATTCGATCTTCATATCTTTAGCCATAAAATATATTGGATCTTCACATCCGACGTGCTTTGAAAAAAAGTAACTGCCGTAAATCAAATTTCTCGGTTTCTGATTTTTGTGTTAAGGACATAGCGTTCTCTACTACAGGCCTATTCATCGCGCAACCGGATTTTTTTGTGGAGGCCTACTTTTTTACGGCAAAAAAGATAATAATTTCGTAATTTTAAAACTAAAAAGTAATTTTAATTCTCTGTATAGCCTAATAATTTTTTTTGATGAAAAAAGAAAATTAATATTAAGTAATATATAAGAAATAAGAAAAAATTAAAAATAAGAAAAAATTTCTTTGCCTTTTATTTACATTGTTAATACAATGTAAATAAAAGGCAAAGAAATTTTTTCTTATTTCAAATTTCACACATTTACATAATTATATTATTTCACCTTTAGTTTTGGCTTTAACAGCTAAATACAAAATTGATATTTTCTTATATTGAGTAGAAATGTTATTAAACCAAACAAAAAATATTAGATAAATTTTGATTAAAATTGTTAACAAAATCTGAAAAAAAAACCCAACTAATATATGAAACTTTTATAAATCTTTTATAAAAAAGTATACTGAATATATTATAAACAGTAGACAACTAAGAAGACAGATCTTGGAGTGACAGTGGTACATAAATTTAAAAAAAAAAATGTTGCTCAATATTACACAATGATGTTCTTCCATATCCAATAAATAATAGTCTGATATAATCATAAAAATACTACTTAAAGATTTTCGGCATACATGATCTTTAACTATTTGAAAAACTACAAAACAAAAAAATGTCCATTGGCATGAATTATCAGTTGGAATTTTTAATCCACCACGATCCAAAAATTTAGAAAACTGACCATATTTCTGAAAATAGAACGTTGTTTGATCAAAAAGTTCATAATCAGTTCGTTCTTTATCATTTCGTGTAACATAACCAGCAATGTGAATAAGTGACATTTTAACATCATCAGCAATAGAAGATTCTAGATCTTGCAAGTTATCAAGAATTTTGCAGCAGTCTTCAGACAATTTGTAATCACATAATGCACATTGATGACCAGACTTCACATTAAAATTGTCAATATCTACATTTAACTTCAAAAGTAAAGATGCATGTTTGATACGTAATTTTTCAATAACTTGTTGAACACTAAGAAAATATGTACCACCAGAACCTTGACGAAGTATACTATATTCTTTTTCCAGGTGATCTGAAGTAAATTGACCAAGAAGAACATAGTTTTGCGTAGTGTTAAGAAAATATCTACATAAATCTACTAGTCCATAACAAGTTTGATGTATACAAGTTGCAGTATCTTTAGAAAGCTGTTTAATACGCTTACCTTTATGACCTGCCATTTTAAGTGCCATATCACCAAATTGTAGTATTAAATTTAAACGGTTGTCATCAGGATTGTTGATAACAGCCTGCAAAGGATCATTATGCCTTGTATCAGCACCAATGGCTTTGACATTTAAAATTTTCCACCAAATAATAACTTTATTAATAAATATAGCAGTGTCGTTAACATCAATATGTATCATGTCAGGATGTTGCAAAAGAGCAGCATAAGTTTTTTCTGAAAATACTCTTAAAACTGTTAATACACACTGTCGTTCAACAGGTTTAGGAGAAATAGAAGTTTCATTCAGGTCAGATAACTTTAGAAAGCTTCTGGATTCTGCATTGTAAAGCTGCTTTAAATGAGTCCATTTTGCAATCCTGGTTGCTCCGTTATCGTCAAATATTAATTCCTGAGTTTTTTCAGTTAACCAAAGATTATGAATATTTTTTATGAGGTGTACAAAATCATAAAGTAAATACTTTCCATCTACTGTTAACCATGGTTTTCCCGGAATGAATGTGTACATTTTAACAAAAGCCTGATTGACACAATTCCCATCACATATAATAGCTTTTACATTTGTACTGACTGAATCAATTATTTGACTAGTTAAATTAATCTGTTCAAACAAAAAATCAGATCATAATTTTGATATTGGTATCATTTTAATTAACACCTTTGGACCCCCATTTAAAAAAACAGCCATAATCCCTAACAATGTTTTGGACAATTCCATTGGGTTATCCTCCGATCTACCAAAAATAGTTCCACCATGGTAAAGCAAACTTTTTTTAACATATATTTCATCATGTAGTATGATACATAATTTCTGCTTATCCAGAAGAGAGTTAAAAATTGAATAAATAAATTTGTTTTCATTAATATTAGAAATTTTTGAAGTAATTCGAGTCAGTGTTGAAATAGATGGAAGTTGATAATCATTTCATAAGCGATTATATAATGCCCTAGGATGTTAAAAAATATACAAAAGAGCGTATAAGTATTTCAGGTGTATAAAGTTTATCTCCAACTAATTTTGGTCCCATAACTGAAACATGTTGCATAATTACTTCTTTTTTATTATCAATTTTCAAAGAGCTTAAAAAACGAAGTATCTCATCAAACTTAGACCAGGAGTCAACAGTTAAGATTTGATTTACTGTTAAGCTAGAAATGTGACACTTAATCCCATAATGAAATGTTTCAAAGGTAAGATTTTCATAAATTTTAAGTACAAAAAAAGGTATTCCATTAAAAAATTGCAAAGATTGTATAACAACATAGCCATCAACCATAAACGATATAACTGAATATTGGTGATCACTGCTATCAATAAACTTGTTTTTAATGTCACAAAAAGTAGCTTTATCCCTTTTAAGAAATGTATCTAGCTCATCATCTATTGTACTTCTAATGCCACTTAAAGATCTTTTGGTAGATCTTTCAGTTGGAATTTGAGATAAAGGTATTCCTAGCCAAACAGAAGGAGGATTTTTTGGTCGACGTTTTCCTCCACGCACTATAACTGTATCAAAATGTGGCGGCCAGTGTATCTCACAGATAACAGTATACTTGGTAACAACCAAATTAGAGTTTGGAATAGCTTTTATCCATTTTTCACGCTCAACGTTATCACTTGGAAACCGATACACTGATATTTTATTAACTTCACTAGATATTTTGTTTTTTTCACTTTGATAGTTGGTGTGACAAGCATACACACAACATTTATTTGGCATGATGATTTAATCTAAATTTTATAAATACATTATTTGCTTTAAATCATATCGGCAAATCCATGTTTAAATTATATAAGTTTATTAACATTGTATTATATTCCATTATTTAAATATTTGTCATAAACGACATGACATTGTATCTGGTCTGAACGTGGAAAAATAATTTTTTCGCCGTAAAAAAGTAGGCCTCCACAAAAAAATCCGGTTGCGCGATGAATAGGCCTGTAGTAGAGAACGCTATGGTTAAGGAGAATTAAATACTTCTGTTTAATTCCGAGGCAAAAAAAAATTTATTTTTTAACTTTAATATTTTCTTTCAATAACTTCTTTTTAACTTTACAGTTCATTTTAAATATGTATTTTTGATTTTATCTTTTGTGCTTATAAAATGTTTATAAAAATATTAAATTTTCTTTTTATAATGATATATAATTTAGCAAAGTCATAATAATATTCCCCCTATAATTAAAAAGCATTAAAAATGTTTAATTATTTATAGTATAAATTATACTACATTATAGAAAAAGAGCAATCTCGAACATAGATGTAATCAAAACTTAAATAAGAGATTCAAAGAGTAAATCAAATAGTCATAATTGGTTATCTTATTAATTCAATATGCTTGTTTTAAGTCTGATATGTTTGGTTTATTTATATGATAAGTAGTAATTAGTTTTCTTTAGTAAAACAAACTTATTATTTAATAAGTTTGTAAATAATACATAAACAATATAACAAGACATTTTAAAAGGTTGTTAACATGTAACAGAAGAACTTAGAGAATGTCTCAAGATGAAAGCAAAAATAAGAAAGTTCCTCCTCCTGTAGCTACAAAACCATGCATATCTCCAAGTTTTAAAAAGATTTTATGTAAAAAAGATGAACCTGCAAAAGAAAATGACAATTCCAATTGTAGTTTCTTGAAAAATCGATCACTTGATAAAAATAGAGAAATCTTAAATGCTGGAAATAATTTGCCAGATAAAGAAAATATAATATTGGATATTGAAGGCAAAGCTAAAGATAATATTCAACATCAATCTAATATTTTTCACAAGAAACCTAGAAAAACATGTTTTTCACCAGACAATCCCAAAGAAGAAATAACATTTAGTTTAACAGAAGTCAGTAGCATCAGGCAAAATGGTTTAGATGATACATTGGATTTTTCCTCAAGTGAAGATAATATTTTACTCTGTAAAAATGCAGAAAATATCAAGAATGACTTTTCAGATTTGCCAATACCACCTCCTTTAATAATTGAGGTAAATTAAAATATTTGTAAAGTTGTTTTATTTCATATTTAAACGCATCTTTAACTTGAATTTTTTTTCAACGAGGTGAAAATAAAAAATCAAAAAAATATAATTTTTTATTTTTTTCAAGCAATTTTTTATAAGTATTTTATTGTTGTAAAGTTTAAATAAAAGACTCAAGTCCAAAGACATTTATTTATACAGATTTTAAATAAGAAGCATAGATATGTTTTGAATACAATCTTTTGAGCAAAGAAAGTATTTTTTTGTTTGTACAGTTTTTTAAAAATAAGAAACAGCTTTTTTCAGCTTAAGTTTCATACATTTAGTGCGTTTTTAGTCTCAAATGTTTTTTTAATGTTTTTTAATTAATATTTTTTATAGAAGTGCTTAGTCAAATAAACAACATAGATGTTAATTAGGTAGTTTACAGCTTAAGTTTACTTTAAAGTTTAAGTTGCAGTTATAGTGGAATAAGCAGTTTATAATATAATTAGGAAGTAAATTTAATACTATTACAATATTACTTTTAGTAATTGTTTTTACTTAACATGGTACATTAAAAAAATTCAAGTCAAAAAGTAAAATTAAAAGTGCAAATACTTAAACCACTTTAATTAGTTATGGAAAACTATTTAATACGTTCATGCTTACAATAAAATACACATTATAGAGTTGTTATTGTAAAGTAGCAATAAAACAATACTGAAAAGTTATTTTGACAATATTATATATAAAGAGCTTGTGACACAAATCTTTGTGACGCTGTTTTGAACATATATATATATATATATATATATATATATATATATATATATATATATATATATATATATATATATATATATATATATATATATATATATATATATATATATATATATATATATATTACAAAATAATACTATCACTGCACTGCACTCTCCAAATGGCAGCAGGCTATAAGGCTATAAGTAATATATATTTCAGTAACATATCAGACTTGCCTATTATTAATTGCTGTTAGAAGCTTTTTATAAAAAAACCCTTTAAAGCGGAAATAAAAAACACGGAATAAAATAAATACGGAAGTAAAAAATACGGAATAGTAGGTGGAAATAAATATTGGCTATAATCGGTTGAAAATTAATTTATCTTTGGTTAAAATAAATTGGTTAAAAATAAAATTAAAATCGGTCAAAAAATAAATTGGACAAAAATGAAAACTTCATAAATTGGTCGAAAATAAAGAATACTATATTTGACTGAAAACAATTTAGGTCTCAGTAAGACATCTGAAAATTAGTTCCACTTTTTAGTAGATGTTCTTTTTGTAGATCAAATTAGTAGATCGAGGTTTTTGTAGAAAAACATTCTTCCTCACTTGCACTATGCTCTAAATCTGATATTGTTACTGCAGCTAAATTTATGTTTAACTTTCAGGAATGCTCCTTGCAATGCCACTGGGTATTATGGATGTTATTGCAAATACATTTATAATTATTAAGCGTTAAAATTCTTTTCAATTTTTCAATTTTTTTTTTTTATAATTTCAAATTTCAATTGCAAAATTATTTGAATAAGAGAATTTTAGAAGATTAAAATTCTTTTGTTCAAATAGATACTTTTTAAAAAAAATAGAAAATGTTTAATCTTGATATTGCTTTAAATAAAATGAAAATATAAAAAAAAAGTATTGTGGTTTTCATATTCTATTTGAGATTACTTATTAAAATAATTTTTAGGTAAAAGCTTTATGTCTTAGCAACATAAGATGTTAATAGAAACAACTATAATATTGAGTATATTAAGTAAATTAATTAGTTGAGTAATCCCCTAGATTCGTTTTCATGATAGGAGAACCATCACAATTAGCTCAGTTAGTTCTTTTAGTTCTTTAACTCAGTTATAAACTATAGTTAGTTAAGCTAAGAGTTAGTTTCAAATAATAAACTTTTCATCTGAGTTCCAATGTCTAACTGGTTCCATACTAAATTTATCTTTTTAAATAAATAGGGCTCAGGACATTTAAGCCTCTCCAGATCCATTAATAAATTACCGATAAGTTTAGTTTGATTTTTAATACTATCAGAAACTTCCATTATATATTGAGTTTCTTTCCTTCTGTAATCTTATTCAGAAGTTTTCCTTCAGTGTTAAGACCATTTAATAACTTTGTTTATTATGCTTTTTCTTTTAATTTTAGCTCCCATTTACTTTGCTGTAAGAGATACCTTTTTAAAAAAATATTTTCTCTACATTGTCACATTGCTCATACATTGTGGTTATAGTCGATTTGTTGTTGTTTCTTGTTGGTTTGCCCTTGCCCTTGTCAACCACAGTATTGACTAAGGAGATAAGATATTCTTCAATAGAAAAATAGTAGCTAAAGTGGTTTGATAGTTCTTTATTTTAAAGTTGTTACTTATCTATTTTTTTTTTACTCTTCCTGCTCATTTTACCAGTAATTCTTTCACAGAGATGGTATCATTTCTTGCAGACTTGTATTTAACACACTCCTATAAAGTTGGAGAAAATTTTTTTTATGTGATGCAAGTATTATTGATAAGTATCCCTAATACTGACCCTTAAGGTTTGGGTTAGTGTATAGTTTTCGATTAAACTTTTGTAAAACTTGTTTTTAACCATTTTTGTAGAAAATTCATAAAATACATGCATGATGAATTTCTTTGTAGGTAGCAAATAAGTTTGTTGGTAAATGCTCTTTTATATGAAAAATTAGCTTTTTTTTTGCAGTTTTAATGAATAATTTATCTTTAAGTGGGATTTTATATTTAATTTAGTTTATTTAATTTGTGTTGTTTTATTAACAAAAATACAGTTTTACATTCTTTTTGTTGAACCATGTAACGATGTAACTACGCAAGTAGCAATTTACTTTTCAATACATTTTTACAAGAAAATGACTAAAAAGAAATAGTGTCAATATATAAGATATTTTATATATATACATATACAGGCCTCAAAAAGAATGGTGGGCGATCTGCAGCGTCCACCTCTACACCCATGTAAGTCAGTTTACACATGTGAAATAAACTTGTGCAAAAATAGAATTTTTTTTTTTAAACAGTAAAATTTAACATTTTTTAAGTTGAGTCTTATTTTACTTATAAAAAAGAATAGTAAAACACAATTAGCGCATTTATAATAAGTATTACCTAAATATGCAATAATAAAAAAAAAGTAAAAAAATATTTATTCATTGTTACATTTTTGTGAGCATCTTTAAGATAAAAAAATTTATAATTAAAGATCATAACTATTTTTAAATAAACTCAAATAAGTTCAAATGGCTAGTATAAGAATTTCTTAAAAATGCATATTAAAAAATCTATTAAAAAACAACATCAATGAACTAAAGAGTTTTAGTAGTTTAGTAGTTTTTAAACACCTATTTAAATTTTATATTTTTAATTCAAAGCACTAAAATATACTTTTTAACACCAAATATTTTTCTAGTTGTGTTTTTAACTTAGTTTCTAAAATGTGTTGCTGGTCTAAAGTGTTTTTCTGATCATACAAAACATTACAGTGTAAAACTTAAAAAACATTACAGTGTAAAACTTGAAAAACATTACAGTGTAAAACTTTACACTGTAATGTTTTGTCTTATTTTATTAGACTCATGTTATATTGCCACTAAGTTAGTTTCTATAGATTTTCAAAAAAAGTCAGCTTTGCATTTCAAAAACAATTATACCACTAAGCTGATTTTTTTTTTTAATTTTTGAATAAGCTATTTATTTTAGACTTTCCATATTTCTTGTCATCATTTTTACTGATTAGCTGAATTTGTAAAAGTCATACTAATGTAATATTTAATTTTTCAGAGTGATGAAGAAAGTCAACTGAATTGTGGTTAGTACTTTATTCTTTCTGATTTTTATTAATAATTTATATAGTTTTTTAAATACAAAACGTCGATGTCCTGTTATAAAAAAGAATTTACCATTAAGTAAAAACTTTGAAACTCCCTTACTATCGGTTAATTTTCCAAGTTTTATTTATACAGCCTTTTGGGATAGTATATAAAGTACGTTGCAGAGAAAATTCTTTTGTTTTATGTGATCTGGTTATTACTCCACACATACATACACACACTCACACACACACACACACACACACACACACACACGCACACACACAAACATATATATATATATATATATATATATATATATATATATATATATATATATATATATATATATATAATATATATATATATATATATATATATATATATATATGTATATATATATATATATATATATATATATATATATATATATATATATATATATATATATATATATATATATATATATATATATATATATATATATATATATATATATATATATATATATACTATAGCAGCATAAAGTAAGTATACAATGGTGTATACTTACTTTATACTTGGTTAGCCACAGCATCAAAAATAAGTTTTTGCAGATCTGTATAATATGCTTTTTTGTTTTTCTTTGAAACCATTAAATTGCATTCTAATTTATGAAGCTTTTCTTTAAGAAGAAAATGGTGTATACTTCAATGGTGTATACTTACTTTATGCCGCTATTGTATATATATATATATATATATATATATATATATATATATATATATATATATATATAAATATATATATATATATATATATATATATATATATATATATATATATGTATATATATATATATATATATATATATATATATATATATATATATATATATATATATATTCTTATTATAGTCAACTCAACTCCTACAGCAGGTCCTATAGAAGATTTAGCTTCACAGTTTGATTTCTTAATAAAACCTCCACCTTCTCCTGATATTGATACAAGCGAAAGTGAAGAATCTTGTTCAGATGATTTACCATTAGATGTCTTAAACAGAAATGACAATGAAGATGAAGATTCTTTCAATTTTAAATCCAATGATGATAATTATCAGAATAAGATAAATTTTTCAGAGAATTTTAATTTGAAAAATATTTCAGAGGATTGTGAACAAAATAAAAGGGATAAAAAAATGAAAAAAGAGTTAATCGATAAAACAATATCTAGTACACAGTATGACAGCAAAAAGGTTAATCTTTTGCATAATAATTTATCCAAATGTGAAAAACTTGAAGAATTATTTCCAGTTGTAGAAGTAGATTCTGGACGTGGTTTATCTCCTGAATATCTAAATGCAAAGATTATAAATAGCAGTGCAAAGAATAAATCATCAGACAATTGTTTTAGTTCCATATTTGAACCGATTTCTTCGCAACCATCCAATGAATCTTGGTCTTCAAGTAGTTTGAGTAGTGATAGCGATAATGAACTAGAATTAATTTCCAAACCAAAGGTTAATATTCGTGAAAAGTTATTAAAGCATATGAAAAATATGGAATCTGTCAGTGATGCAGAAAGTTTTTTTAGCTCAAAACGGTTTGTATTTTATGTTTTGCTTGTATTTTTATTTGTGACTAAAATTTACATTTTTAATTATGATTACCTTTTTTTATGATATTTGAATATATTTATAATTTGTTATAATTATATTATGATTTCGTATATTTAACTAATAATAACTTTTTTTTACATTTATAATAGTTATTTTAATTTTAGCAGTAAATCTTTGGAAATTCATTTACATAAAAATGTTAAATTTTACAGTCTAAAACATTAAAAAATAACTTTAAATACATTTTAAAATACATTTTAAATATATTTAAAAAAAATTTTGCAGTCTATATAAAATTATCACCACAAAAAATTGTAATAATGAAGTTATGTTTAATATGACTTTCAAAACTTTTCCTTTTTTTTTTTTGAGTTATGACTAATTAATGATTTTGCACTATTTTTTTTGTTTATTAATATAAAACCTGAAATTAAAAAAAAATAAAACAAACAAAAAAAGCTTTTTCACAAAAAGGTGATTTTTTAAAAATAAAGATCTGATCTCTGATTTAAATGTTTTAATTTGAATATTGAGTGTTTGTTTTATCTTCTTTGACCCTGTTAGTTTCAGACAGAGAATAACCATAATTTTTAAACAGCACATAATGATCATTTATAAGTTTGAATATTTTTTATGTTTGTTTTTACCCTGCATACCTATCCTTACCCAATCTTTACCCAATTATCTTACCCAACAAATAATCAAGAATTCCTAAAAGTGAAATTTTCCCAAGAATTTTCAAATTATCTTCGAAATTACCTAGATCAAGAGTTAGAAGATTTCTGAGTGGATACAACAAATTTAGTTTAAAAAGAGGTAAATAGAAAAGTATAGGTTAAGCTGTACAATTTTATATCTTGTAAATAAGTTTTGAATATTTCGTTATTTTTATTATTTTTTTATTTCTGATTTTCTGTTTTGTTTTTTTAAATAGTTGAATAAGAAGAAACAAAGTTGTTTTTGGGTTTTTAAGTTGCTTTTGTGTTTTTAAGTTGCTATTGTGTTTTTAAGTTGTTTTTGCGTTTTTAAGTTGCTTTTGTGTTTTTAAGTTGCTTTTGTGGTTTTAAGTTGCTTTTGTGGTTTTAAGTTTTTTGTTTTTTTAAGAGTTGAATTAGAAGAAGACTGTAGCATATTATCAGATGATGAGGTATTATTATCTTTAAGTTAAAATTTTTTTAAAATACTTTTTAATAGACTATAAAATGATTTAAAATTTTTTATGTATTTGTTCATTTAAAAAAGTGTTAAAAAGCATATTGTTAATGCCAAACTATAATCAATATTTTTTCAATAAAATGGTTGATTGATGTGATTATTAAAATGGTTGGTTTAATTGGTTGTATGATTTTTTTAAATTAAGTTCAATTCTATTTAATATCAAATCAATCAAAGGTTGAAATACAAAAATAGATACAATTTAATACTTTAGGGAAACCATAGGTTTCTTTAAATTATTAAATTGCAACCTAATATTATATCCTTGATATACCCACTAAACTAGTATTAGGGGCGTGGTGGCTCTAAAAGGCCCATGCAGGATTTTATTTAAAAAGCTTATATATGCGGGATTTTACCATTAATGATGGATGTTAAGGCCCATATATATATATATATATATATATATATATATATATATATATATATATATATATATATATATATATATATATATATATATATATATATATATATATATATATATATATACGTATTAGTGCTTGCATATATCTTCGCGAGAGTGTTCGATGAATTAAAATAAATTAAAATGATTTAAATTAAAACAGAGCTGCATTTACATATATTATTTATAAATAAAACTTTTTGTTGTAAATGTTTCATTTATAAATAATATATATATATATATGTATATATATATATATATATATATATATATATATATATATATATATATATATATATATATATATATATATATATATATATATATATATATATATATATACTTATAATACTTAAAATATCACCAAAAAACTCGTATTGGTTACTGTTTGAATAAGGTCATTCAAACAGTAACCAATACGATTTGTATTCAATTGTTTGAAGAATAGCCATAACACAAAATAAAAAATCAAAGATTTAAGTTTTATTATGTAATGTTATATTTTTTACTATATTATAATATAAATTGTTTTAAATTATAAATAAATTTTTTTTTTTAATTATAATTTTTTTTTTTGAAAAAAGAGAAATTGTTTTATATAAATAGCTTTTCTGATTCTGCATTTTAACTAGCATTTATAAGGAGCATAAACGTACAACAGGGCTCTAAAAATAGTTTAATTGACATACTTTAAGACTTGACTTTAAAGATGAAAAAGTTTTATTTAGCAGTTGCTAAATTGGAAAGTATTTCATATTTTTCTGAAATTATTATTTTGTTGTTTTTTCATTAAAATGAATCAAAGTTTAAAAAATGATAACAAAAAATATTAAACTAATTAAATCTTTAATTTATTTTAAACATACATGTATACATAATAGTAATAAAAATGCTCTGTCAAATGCGTACAGTGTGTACATCTAATATCACATTGTATTTATAAATATTTGCGGTACTCCCACACATAAATTAAGATAAGTTCTTTAAATAATAGGGTTTTATGCTATTTTTAAAAGCTTATTAATGTTAAACATATTTTGAAATCCATGGGACTTATATATAAAAAATGTAACCAATTCAATAAATTGTTTTAATTGATAGCGGGGAGTAATTTTATGGTTACCTTAATTATACTTGACATGTAAAAATACCTGTAATTAGACAAAGTTAAATGATCTGAGTATCAAGTTGTCAACTGGTTTACTAATGTAATCTTTTTCATTATAATATTTAAATAAAGTTTCAAATAAAGGACTTAAAAGTTGCTTTATTTAATTTTTATGTTAATGTATTTTAAATTTTGTTCAATTAAAATTTTAATTGTTTAATTTCAATTGTGTGTTAAAATGTGTGGTTTTGCATATTTGCAATTTTTTTCGACCTGGATCAGGAGAGAGTTTTACGAAGTGTTTGCTTTATTTACCCTGCTTTGTGTTACGGCTGTCCTGAAATAAATGAATGTTGAACGAAAGAAATAGATGCTTCGTTAAATATATATAATTAAAATTTTAAATAGATGTCATTTCAAAGTTTGTCATTTAAATATTTGTATATGTAATATAACTGTTTAAGTACATTTAAAATAGGAATTCTGTGTACTTTAATAGAAACTAATTATCATAAAAACACATAAACTGTTTTATTATAAAGAAAGTTTAAACCAATTTTGAAACATAACAAAAATACAAAGCATGAATTTGATACTTATTATATATTACATTATATTATTGAATTTTTTTTTTCAATTTTACGATCATTAAAAATCATTTATAGGTTCATAATTTTTCTTATGAAAAAATACTATAATACGTCAAATATCTACTTTGTTATGAGAGCAATGTTGTTAGGGTTAATACTAAATACAAAATACTAATATAATTGTGCTCAAAGTTGAACACTTAAAGTCAAGCGATTAATTAAATTGAATTTATGCAAACATAAATATAATAATATAGTTTTCAAAATGTTGAAAAAAGTAAAAATTGCTAAAAAGCCCATATTTAGATTAAAATATGCCAAAAGCGCCATATTTAGATAAAAAGTAATATACCCATGTGGCTTTTCACTTTTTATCTAAATATGGGCCTATATGGGTGGTGGTATGACTAGTCTAGCTTTGATGATTGTACTGTGCTTTTAGGTGGGGTTAGAAGAAATAATAAATGACTGATCAAACAGCTTACTAATAACTTTTAACAGAGTTTGTTTTCTTAAACAGATTAGTTGGCAATTGAAACTTCTGTATGCAACTAAAAACTCTAAAACAAAGTTTTTATAAAATGATTCTCTATTTGAACTTTTGGTATTTGAACTTTCTATGTTTGAATTTTCCATATTTGAACTTTCCATACTTGAACTTTCGATATTTTATTGTTAAAATTACTGCTGCTATTCTTTATAATTATAAAGTAGTTATGTCGTATAATTATGTTGTTTATGTTATTTGTGTTTCATGATTAAACTTATAAAGTTATCTATATAATTTTCAAGTTATTAATTTTTGTTATTATTGCTTAAAAGTTTAGTTGCTAAATTTTTATAATAATTAAAAAGATAGATAGTACCCATAATTATCAGGTGACAATATCTATAAACTTTTTTATTAAATTCAAATACCCAAGCTTTCATAATGTTTTAACTAATTAGAAATATTACAACAAATGTGATGCAATATTTTATTAGTTTTTTTTTTAATGTAATTAATTCAAACATCATGTGCATACAAATAGGCACAAAGTCCAAAGGTAAAATTAAATAATGAGTAAATAAAAAGTAAATATATAGCCATCTACAACAACCCATCATTCAAAGAGTATTAATATTATGTTAACCGCAACAACAGTCAAGTTTCTTTTAGCACACTCAACGAGCTGTTTCTTTAAATTGATTCTTGAGTTGGACAAAATGTATTAAAAGATGGGAGCCTTAACTCTAAAAACATTGGAGTGAGGCAGCAATATTTTTCATATCCAAAAAATATTTTTGCTCATTTATTATAGCAATATCCTAGGTGTGTTGATGTTCTTGTGCTAAAATTGTTTTACAGGGAAGCATTATATAAGATTATACAATGTGATTGGAGTTATTTAACTTTAACTAGGTTTGAACACCTGCAAAAGCGCTATATTAACATATTTGTTCTAGTAAATAGATTTTTCATCTCTTTTTTTAAATCCATATCATGTGATAAATCATTTTTTACAATATTACCAAGCTGTATAAAGTTGTCAGCAAATTCCAATTTGCAACCTGCAATATATTGTGAGTCTGCTTGCAGACACAATATTTTTTGATATTCCTTGATCTAATAGGTTACAGAACTGAAGTCAGTAATCAACATTTTCAAATGCTTTATTAAAATCTATAAATGATGTAAACACATACTTATTACTACTAAGTATTAATGCGTGTTCTATAGCAGTTAATAAACTTTTATGAAAATAAAAAATTCATTAGTAGTATTTTTAGCAAATATAATGAAATTTATTCATTGCATTTTTTCTTTAAGTTATTTTTAACCTAAAGTTTAATAGATGTGTGAATATTTTGGTAAAAATAAAATCTAGCTTTTTTTTTATACTCTCTATTGAAGGAAAATTATTTTGATAAGCTGTTTCTTTAAGGGTTTAATATTAATTTTGGGTTATCATTAGTTTTACTTTATTTTTTTTTGTTTTTACATATTTGTACTTTCTAAATTAGTTTTTATGTATCAATATATAATAAATATTATCAAATCAATTTTTATTTATTTTCAAAACCAAATTTTGAAAACTTTTTGTATCTAGGCTGAAAATTGCTTAAATGATATCGATGTTTGTGATTGGACGACATCTGATGTTTGTGATTGGCTTGAACTAATTGGACTGGTTCATTTAAAGAATGTTTTTAGAGGTTTTAAAGCTTATAAAAGTTCTTGTTTATCTTTTTACTGATTGTATAGAATTTAATACTACATAGATGAGTTTTTTCTGGGAATTTCCGGAATTCCGGAAATTCATTTAAAACTCCTTTAATTTTCCAGAATTTTCCGAAAGTTTTTTGTTATTAATTTGAAAAAAAATTTATATATTTTTACATAAAATTTTAAATGCGACAGCTTTTGCATTTAAACAAATATGTTTTCTATAATTAGAATTTTCACGACATAAATTTTTGTAACAATTTTTTTCCTTTTTTTTTTTTTTGCTTTTTAATTCATTCATATTATCTTTTTCGAATATTAAAAATTCCTTTTTGTAAAAAGTTAAATAATCTAAATTCTGTTATAAAAGTTTACGAAAGTTTTTGTTGTCTAATACGATCAATTTTTAATAAAATAATTTTCCGGGATTTTCATAGAAAAAAATTTCCGGGATTTTCATAAAGTCAAACACTCATCTATGATATTCGTGTTTTAAAATAAAGTTAGGAAGCTTATTATTGATGATTATAAAGATGATTATGAAGTGATATATGTCAAATGATATCTGACATTATATTACCAATGGCATTCAACAAAGGATGATATAAAGATGATAATATCATTTATCATATATATTAGTTATCAGCTTTATCATAAAGCTGATAAATGTAGTGATGTAATAAAGCTAATAATATATATATATATATATATATATATATATATATATATATATATATATATATATATATATATATATATATATATATATATATGTGTATATATATATATATATGTATATATATATATATATATAAATAGTATTGCATACTAAGGTAAGCAATCTGATGTCATACTGAAATAGCCTGCTGCTGGGGGCTTCAGTACATATATCGACTGACAAATAGCCTGACTCGCAGTGGAGTGCTGCTACGTCGACTGCGGGTTTGGGATGGGGCAGCAATTGTTTTATTTATCATTCTTCGTTTTTTTTTCTTTTTTTTTTTGAAAAAAACAGTATAGCATAAGGTAAGCAGAAAAAGTGAGTATATATATGTATATATATATATATATATATATATATATATATATATATATATATATATATATATATATATATATATATATATATATATATATATATATATATATATATATATGTATATATATATATGTATATATATATGTATATACATATGTATATATATATATATATGTATATATATATATACTATATATATATACTATATATATATATATATATATATATATATATATATATATATATATATATATATATATATATATATATATATATATATATATATATATATATATATATATATATATATATATATATATATATATATTAACAAAAAAAAACAACTTTTTCTATGGTACTTTAAGCTTCATGCCTATATGACATTCATCAGCCATTGAAAATCAAAAACAAAAAAACCCGCTGAAAATTACAATACTGTGTTGTAGGATTTTTACGTGGCTAAGACATACTTGATGGCAACCAAAGAAAAAACAAAATATTTGCTAATCACCGGTGTCAAAAAAAGATTAAAGGAATTTATTTTTGTGCCTGCATTTTAAAATCAACTCATTTTATTTATTTAACAAGTTATCACCTTTATATGTTAAAATAAGGAATTTTTAGAATAAGCAAAGATTGCAAATTTTTGATGAGGCATTATATGATTGTAAGGTTTTACAAATTTCCACTTAATTAAGAGTAAACATTTTGTCTTTTATGTCCCAAATTTCTTTAGACAACTCGGTATTATTTTTATATTTATTAATGTTAAAAGATTTTAGGTGATTAGCATACCGAGATATGAATGGAGTTTCACATAAGCCGAAATATATTTTTCTTTGTAGTCAGGTTTATTTGATGACACAGTGGCTTGATAAATGATGTTCTTTGTCAAGCACTGATTGTCCAGGGGACAGATGGATTTGTTGACACAGTTGCATGTTTTTCCCTCATCTTTATTTTGGCTATATAATATCCTGTGATTGTGCGAATTAATGATGGGCTTGATATTTGGCATACATGAATAGCTTATTTTAATGGTATTTCGATTAAATATATTATGAAGTTTGTGACCAACCGGAAAGTGCATGTCTACTATTTTCAAAAAAAACTGCCTATTTTTGTTAACATTAGTACTGAACATTTGCTAACATTGGTACTGAAAGGTGGGTTGTATCAGATTATGTTTCGCTTTTGATTTTTGAATGGGATCGGCCATCTGTTTGACCACTGCGGTTCTTAAACACTGCTAGACCATCATCTCTATACAATCTGAGTTCATCTTCATTGTAAGAATGTAATAATTGGAACAAAATAAATATTCCAACTAGCTGACAAACTTCTGTGCCATCAAAGGCTCTCATGGTTACATCAAATAAACCTCCACTTTTTTAAATCCAGGCTTCACCATTGTTAAATAATAATGATTTCCTGGCGTGATGTATTAACCTTTTTTCATCTTGTTTTATAATAAAGTATTTTTCAGTAAAGGTTATAGCGTTCAGTAAATTTTCATTAATTGAAGGATAAAAATCAGTTGTATCGAAAATTAAGAATTTGTATAGATGTTTTTCTTTAATATTTTCAAACCAATCTATAACGTTCTGTGAGTTTAGCCATTGGTTGATGCAAACTTTTTTTCTAAGATCACTATTTATTTTTGATAGAATAACTTTAAAAATTCTTCCTTCTTCATTTTTTGCAGAATTTAATAGGCGAACTATAGGGTTGTTTAAAAAATTTTCCTTGAGGTCATTTAGAGTGATAAAACTATTTGAGGTGCCATTTAATTCAATTCTGTTGAAAAAATTATGATTAGTTAAAAGGTGTTTACTTTCAATATTTATTTGATCTTTCAGATTTTGGTCAGCCTTTTTATATGTAGATGTAACGGAGTTCTTAAGGAGGTGGTTATACTCTTTTTTGGAAATTCTGTACATATTGGAGGTTTTGTCAGCTTGAGTTAAAGTTTTATGTGATTTGCGCAATGATTTTATATCGTTAGAAAGCTTTTCTTGAAATTTGCTGTTCATTTTACAAAATTTAATATTTTTAACTAGATTACAATATTTTGTTTTTTTATTGGTTGCCATCAAGTATGTCTTAGCGACGTAAAGATCCCACTACACAGTATTTTGTAATTTTTAGCAAGTTTTTTTGTTTTTGATTTTGTATTTAATGGCTGATGATTGCTGTATAAGCATGAAACTAAAAGAAAAATGTCCTGAAAAAACAACAATGTGTTTTTTCTTTGTTAATATATGTATATCAGGCCTTCTCATAAGAGGGGTGCAATCGCATGCCTTACATGACCACGCATATAGTTCTTTGTTTTAACAATTTGACCACGGCTTTTTTACAAGTTCTGATAATTTGTGCATTTAAAAAATGCGCTAAAAAAAAACAACAGCAAATTTAAATGTGATTTTTAATTTAATTAATTCTATAATTACAACTAAAGTGCCACAAAATTTTCTTAGTACTTTAATGCAAATTAATAAAAGGCAATCATTGAAAAAAATATTTAGATTTTAAAAATATTTAGAGTTTAAGGCAAAATGAGTACAGAAGCTATCAAAAAATAATTCCAAACCATTTTATCATGGAAATATAATTTTTAATGAAGAAATTATTTGCTAAAAAAAGAATTACAATAATCTTGAAACAGTCGAATCTGCCAACTATTTCTTATCCCAGGGCATGACATCATTTTTTTTAATGAACGTTGACTTGCGTATCTTTATTTATTAAAGAACGTTTAATTTAAGAGATTTATATCAAATAAATTTCTAATAGTTTTTATTCTAGATAATAAGTTATTAAATACATAAAAGATGCTTGGTAAATGTATTAAATTTTTATTTTTCAAAAACTTTTTTTTGAAAATTAAAAATTGAATAATCTACACATTTGCAAAGTGCGCACAAATTAATGATAAATGCACAATAAAAAAAAACTTTAGAAAGTGTTTTTAACATGCAAACAAACATTATTTCACTTTATGGAAAACAAGAAAATTAAAAAAAAAAGCATGCAAAATTTTATTTATAATGAATTCATTTGATTTAAACTTTTAATGTAATTGCTAAAAACATAAAAGAAACTATACTTAAACTTTACGATCGCTTTCTTCAATAAAAGAAAAGAATCGAAATGCTAAAGTACGGTTTCTTTCGAAGTTTTTGCAAAAGCATTCATTTTAAGTAAAATTATAAATGCTTTTGTGAGCGCATGCAAAAATCATGCTAAAACATAATTACTTTCTTATTTTACTTAAAAGTGACGCTATTGAAAAAAGTAATTATTTTTTGGCGTTATTTTTTAAGTCTCTGAAATTAATTGTTTTTCATTTTAAATACATGTTTTTTATAATAAACAAAAAACTATTGATCGCAAAAATGAAAAAAAATTCTGAAGTAATGCATTTGCTTTGAAAAATATTAGTTAAATGCATAAGCAAATTTAAAACGTGATGTTTGTTTTTCTGTCTGTCTTTAAAGAAATGCACACATTTTTTTAAAAGACAGACAGAAAGAAATGCATGCAAAGTTACTTACGTTTTTAAACATCAATTTCTAAAAAAATATATTAAAAATCTGAGGAGGGGAGGGGAGGGGGAAGATGTCCTCATGACCCTTTCCCTCACTATGAATCCGCCCTTGTATTAGCCTATTTATTCATGGGAAGGAATAATAAAGATTATTAAAGCTGTGATGTTTTTTTTTTACTTTCGCTTATAATTAAGTTTACATTAATGTTTTGATTTTTTTTCTGGTTCTTCTTTTGTTTATTTTATCATTCTTTAAATATTTTATTTTTTTAGCTTAATTTTTGTATTATATGTTTTTTTAAGAATTTTCTTTTCTTTTCAGTTTATGGATTATTTAACGCATTTTTTAAACACGCTAATTATTTAAACTTACACAGAGCCGTGATCAAGTTGTTAAAACAAAGAACTATATGCGTCTTTTGAGAAGGCCTGATATATATATATATATATATATATATATATATATATATATATATATATATATATATATATATATATATATATATATATATATATATATATATATATATATATATATATATATATATATATATATATATATATATATATTTCAAGCTCCATTTCTTCAGTTGTGATGAAGTGACTGATTTTGACATTATTCAAACCTTGCTTCATTGGTTGGATTCCACAAGCAGCAGTGACAGAAAGCTATTTTATTTTAACTATTTTACCTATTGTATCACGTAGTGATTTGATATGGCTTAATGCAAAGAAACTCCATATGCATGGAGCTAAAATCTCGAGCATAGAGTTATTTTTCAGTTAACATAAGTTTTAAAAATATTTACATATTTTCTTCTGTCCTTTACAGCTAACTGAAAAGTAAAAAAAAAATTGTGATTGAGGGAATGATAAGTTTTATATGATTAACAGTTTTAAAATAACTTCATTGATAAATCCAAAATCATGGTTCAAATTGTCTGAAATTCAACTAAAGGAAGATGCCTCTAATTTCTTTTTCAAGTAATTGACAACAATCTGATAAAAGGAACACTGCTTCTTGCTCCAATAGTAATTTACTATCTTTTCTTGTGCTACAAAAGTGCAGTTTTCTGCCAATCAAAGTGCTACAAAAGTGCAGTTCTCACCCAATCAAAGTGCTACAAAAGTTCTCTGCAAAGTCTACCATGACGATTGTTTAATGGTTATTTTGTGATAAATGATAAATGAGAATTAATTTTTTCAAGCAGTTTCACACAGGTGCTCTATAAATTCATTTAATAAAAGCTGTATTAAATTAATATTTCAGTTCTATCTGTTGTTAATCACTGCTGGAAATCCACTGACTGCTCAAAGAGTTTTAACCGTGTTTTAAACAGTGTTTTTATCGCTCATCATTTTTATATTTATTACTTTTCTAGATTTTATGTCAGATACTGTGGTAAGAATTTTGTGCTGCTTGCATGCTGGGACAACCGTTGTATTGGTAAATCATACAGACAATCAGTTTCACATTTTGGTTTATTGAACACAAACAAAACATGTACCTTTTGGGCCACCAAGAATACAGCATTTAGGTTGAAAAATGCAAAACTTTGAGAATATAATTTTATGGTCTGGGTACATTAACTTATATGCTGGTGTTTCAGAGAGCTTCTTAAAGCTGCACAAAATCAATTATTTTGACATTTTTTTAACTAGGTATTTACCTTAAATACTCATCATCACTGTAAAAAGGTTCTAAAATATCCTTGTTTGTCTGATGTTGTCACATCAGGGTGTGCTAAGAAACTTATTTGAAAATTTTTTTCACCGCTTTTCTAATAGGTAAATATCAAAGTTTGAAGTTGCTGCCTTCCATTACAAATTTTTTATAATTTTTTTTACTTTGGCTTGAGTCTTTTATTAACTTCAATGTATATTAGTGCAGTAAGATTAAATTCAGAGGCACTGAGAACAGGTGCAGAGAACAGATAGATGCAGATGTCTAAACTAGCTGGTTCTTTAACTAGCTTTAATTTTCATACCAAGCTCTGTTGAGAAATGATCTTGTTGATTCCATCATCATTTCTTTCTGCATATTATCTTAAATTTTATCTCCATCTTATTCTCTTCTGATTCCTCATTTGTTGCTAGTTTATTTTGGCATTTTAGACAAAAGTTTTCACCAGGTACTACAAATTTGATTTTACTGCTTAGGGGCTTAGCTATATCCTAGTTAATTTTACCAAGACTGCCAAGTAGAATAAAATAATTGCCTTAATTACTAAAATCTAAAGTTGAACATTGTTTGATATTTAATTTTGCACTTTTCAACTCTAAATATATCAGAAATAGAACTTGGCTGCAAAGAATCTTGATACTATCACAAATTAAATTGAGAAATAAATGTTGTGAGTGCGGTAAGTGATTGAAAATTAAATGTAGTAAGTGTGGCAGTGGTGTAGTAGTAGAGCACTCGCCTCATAAGCGAAAATTTTCAATTGATGTCACAAAACTTTATTCAAATAACTTAGCAAAATTCTTCTTGCACATGAAAAAAAAATTGAACCCTTGTAAACTCATGTAGACCATGTCAACTATATCAACTCTACAAATTACTGAGTTAAAAAATTGAAAATTTTCAGTCATCTCAAAAAATAATTTTTTTGTTTGTTTTGTTTCTATGGGTAACACTTTCAGTGTAAAAATATTTTAGCTAAGGGGCGAGGTGGTGACTGAAAATTTTTAACTTTTTGTCTTTCTTATTTTTTATTGAACTTTCTTATACATGGAATTACTCATACGAAATATAACTTGTAATAGCACAAAGATATATAACACAAACAAATAATGATATAAATATATAATTATTAATAGCTCATGAATAAATATAATTTATACAAAGATAAAATATTTATAAAATATAAATGTATAAATTTTCAAAGCTCAAGATTTATGTTTTAGATCATGGAGTTAATGGCAAAATGCTCTTTGATATCAACTTACACTTATTAGGTACTCTTTTTTATTTTTCTATTAATTTAAGTTTGCATTGCAATATACTAAGTTAAAATATATATTAAGAAATATTAAGGACTTGTTTTTAATATGATAATGAAGTCAAAGATGGCAAGTAAAATGTCAACTGCACAATTAGTTAAGCAATTTGGATAATAAACATGGTAATCCTTGAGTAAAAAATGGGTAAAAACTAGGGAAACTCTTTGTTTAACCCTTTATTACATAATGTTACCAAAGGAAAGTTAAACTTTAAAAATTTTTTTAAAGTAAAGTGTCTCCAAATTAGTAAAATTCAAAGTAAATGAAATAAAATATTTCAAAACACTGAAAGTAAAAGAAGTAGAATGTCTCAAAATACCATAAAGCCTTAAAAAAACTTCAATTCTTAAGTCTTAAAGTATCAGTGAAATGTTATGTTAAGTCTTAAAGCATCAGTGAAATGTTATGTTAAGTCTTAAAGCATCAGTGAAATGTTATAGCACTGAAAGTGATAACTGCTTATAAAATAAAATTAGTGTGAATAAAAATGAAAATAATGAAACTTTCAAATTATTTTTAAAAGAATTTTCAGCTTTATTTGTATATTTTTAAAGATTCTATGGATATAAATTCTGATGAAGATAGAGAGTTGATTTTATCAGAAATTTATGCTCTTCAAAATCCTTCTGATGCTGATTTACAAGTATCAATACTAGGTAAGTTTTCAAATTATCATCAAATATTCAAATTATATTATATAATTGTAGTTATGGATGATATTATATTATTAAAAAATACAACATATCTTTAATACAAATAATATTTCTATTTTTTTTAATATTATTTTTATTAAATAAATATGTAACAAAATTCAAGTTAATAAATATTGAATTTGAGTGTTTACAAGTATTATATGATATAATTTTAACTATGATCAATATTATATTGTTAAAAATTTAATGTTAAATCTGTTATAGTAATAGTAATGATATTTCTATTTAAATTTTTATGGTTAGCTATGAACTGTTTGTTGACTAGTTCATAAAAAAGTAAACTTTATAGTTCATTATTCCATTTTTTATGGTTCACAGGATTAGCTGCTTAAATAAATCCAATATATTCATAAAATACATGCTAGTCAAATTTTTAAAAATAACAACCAAATCTACTATAGGGTATTTATATAAGCATTTGTTCACTCTTTTTGCTTATCTTAATCTATAAAGCTTTTTTAGAAAAAGAAGAAAAAAATAAAGAATAATGAATGAAAAGACTGCTGCTCCATACCAAACCCAGAGTCGATGTAGCAGCACTCCACTGCAAGTCAGGCTATTTGTCAGTCGATGTATGTACTGAAGCCCTTGGCAGTAGGCTATTTCAGTATGACTCCAGACTGTTCACCTAAATCAGCAGCATAAGATACATACATATACATATATATATCCATACTCCATTGTATATGTACTCCATTGCAGTAAATTAACAACTTTGGAGCGGACATTTTCAAAAAAAAGTTTTTTATGAACCGCCTTAATATATATATATATACATATACATATATATATATATATATATATATATATATATATATATATATATATATATATATATATATATTTTTTTTTTTTTTTTAACATCTTCACTTCCAACAAGGCTGCAAGCAACCACTATAAGAGTTGGAAGTTACTGGAAGAGAAAAGACTAAATCTGTAGAGCAAGATAACGATTGACTGATGACTTAAAAGATTGCAAATTATATGAATCAGGAAAGCAAGATGAAGGAAGCGAATTCCAAAGAACTGATGTTCGAGGAAAAAAACTAGAAGAATAAGAGTTTTTGAAGCACTTAGGAACAGTCACAGAAAAAGGATGAGACTTAATTGAATGGCGAGTAACACGAGAGTGAATTTTAGTAGATGGCACAAGGGACGCTAGCTCTTTAGAGCAGTGCCCATTATAGTATTTGTAGAAAAGAGAAAGAGAGGCAACATTACGACGATGTGACAAAGGTTGGAGATTGGCTGCCAGAGCAGGTCCAACTATGTTTACAATTCGTTTTTGCACCTTGTCTAAAAGAGAAAGAGCATCATTAGAAGATCCGCCCCAGATGTGGCAACAGTATTCCATACAGGGACGGATTTGAGATTTATAGAGATAGAGAATAGAATCTGGAGTAAGAAAGTGTCGAGCTCGATAAAGAGATGCAACCTTAGCAGATGCTAATTTTGCAATGGATTTGATATACGGTTTAAAAGAAAGATCAGAAGTAAGAGTTAATCCTAGAAGATGAATGGTAGATGACTCATCTAGTACATTACCATTCATAAATATAGGAAGATCTAAATTATTACGATAACGATTGGCCGAATAAAATTGAGTTTTATCTGAATTAAAGTTCACCAGCCACTGTGAGCCCCATGCTGTAGCAGAAGTGAGATCCTTTTCAAGCTCAGATACCCCCTCCAAGCAATCAGAGAGTGTAGGATTCTTATCATGACAAGAGTAAATGGTAGTGTCGTCAGCGAATAATGCCACCTTAGTTGTGAGAATATCTGGAAGATCGTTAATGTAAATTAGAAAGAGTATAGGGCCAAGGATTGAACCTTGAGGAACCCCTGAAGTTACAGGATGTGAAGAAGAGTGTTGTCCATCAAGGACAACTTTTATACTATGATTGGAAAGAAAGGACTCAATAATCTTAAAGATGTTACCAGCTACACCATAAGAAGAAAGCTTATGGAGAAGACCAGCATGCCAACTTTATCAAAAGCTTTAGAAATGTCAAGTGCGATAGCCTTAACCTCTCCACCTCTATCTAATGCACGTTAAAACCTATCGGTTATTACTGTTAGCACATCAGCTGTAGAACGAGAAGACCGAAATCCATATTGATGATCAGAAAGTAAGTTATTTGATTCAAGATGAGAGATTAAGTGTTTGTTGATTAAAGATTCAAAAACCTTGCTTATGACAGGAAGAAGACTAATGGGACGGTAGTTAGATGAATCAGATCGCTCTCCGGAATTTTTGAAAATAGGGATAACAGATGCTGCTTTCCAGCATGATGGAAAACAAGACTCTGATAAGCACTTGTTAAATAGTTTAGAAAGTATGGATGAAAGCTCCGGAGAACACCTCTGCAAAACTACAACAGGAATGTTGTCAGGACCACAAGCTGTTGAAGAGTCTAAGCAGGAAATTACTTTAGATACAGAAGCTGAAGTGATGCGAATGTCAAGCAAGGGATCAACCTGTTTGACGGCTATGTCAGGTAAAACGCAACTAGTGGAATCAAGAGATGATATTGATGAAAAGTTCTTAGCAAACAATTCAGCTTTGTCTTTAGGTGAGGTGACAAAGTCTGAACCATACAAGAGAGAAGGAATAACAGATTTGCCCTTATTATTGATACTGTTAAAGATTCTCCAGAAGTCTCGAGAGCCTAATTTTTGTGATGAGATACGAGATTTAATGACCTGGGAATAGCGAGCTTTGGCGTCAGACAAAACCTTTTTACAATGGTTTCTGGCGATAGTGAACAGATGTCTGTTTTCTGGAGAATTGTTTTGCTGATAGATATGGAAGTAACGGTTTCGATTAGAAATTTTTGCAGCGCAATGTGAGGAAAACCAAGTAGAAGAGTGAGGCTTGACCTGGAATCGTCGAGAGGGAATAAAAGATTCCATGCCAGCCTGAATCCACAAAGTTATGTAAGAAGCACATTTGTCAGCAGGAAGACGAAAGATTTCTACCCAAGGGCCATCAGGAAGAAAATCACGGAAAGAGTCCCAGTCAGCTTTAAGGTAGTTGTATGTGGTGCGAAGTAGAAGAATTTGATAATAGTTTTAGAGAGATCAAACCGTGATCAGAAGTACCTAAGGGTGAATGTGGAGAAATTGAGCACTGACTAGGATCCAAAACAAGACATAAGTCGAGTAGAGAAGGTAAATGATTAGGGTTGTCTGGAAAACGAGTTGGAAAGTTGACTATTTGAGTTAGAGATTGAGAAAGGCAAAAGTTGAGGGCCTTAACGCCAGCAGAGTCACTGATACTAGAGCCAAGCCAATCGGTGTGATGGGCATTAAAGTCACCAACAACGACGATATTGGCCGATGGATAAAGAGAGAGGGCTTGGTCAATTTGATCAGAAATAACATCAAGAATAGTGCAGTCTTGGGATGAAGGAGAGCGATATAGAACAAAGAGAAAGGTGATAGAGTGAAGTTGTGCTAAACGAAAGCACATAAATGAATAGTCTGTAGATTCAAACCTAGTTTCACGACAAATGGGTGAGTTCTTACGAATGTAGATGCCCAGGCCAAGCATGTGATTATTGGAGTCTTTACGAATTAAAGGAAGATAACCATCAACACTAAGATCACAAGATGGGACAGCCGAACTCAAATTAGTCTCACAAAGAGCAAGTAGGTCTGGTGAACTTTGCAAGAGATAAGACTCAACAGAAGAAAAGTTACTTCGAAGACCACGAATATTAGTAAATGATAGGTTTAGAGAACTTGGTGATGACAATGGTTTTTTGTGTTTTTTAGTTTTAGGTACTTTAGTCATTTTAAATTTATAAAGAACTTGACTCAAGTATAGATAGTACTCAGTACACTATTTAACAACTAAGCAATAGCCTCATTACTATTAATAAACCCTAAGCCGTAACAAAGGGCTCCAAATGTGGCCTCTGCAATGCACACCAAAAGTACAAACAGGGACACTATCCATGCGCAACATGGCACTGTTAGTACTCTGATATTTTTTAGCTGTTGATGGAATCAGCCTCTCTGAGAGCTACCACAGAGTTCGGCAAACCTGACTACCACCCGGCCTCAGAACCATAAAACTGAGTTTTAGAGCTGTACCCTCATTAGGAGATAATAGAATGAGTTGCCCAGTCATAAAAACAGAGACACAAGCAATACCCACGCATTGAGTCAAGAAGATCCAACGTTCAACATCCTAAACTGGAAACAATGTATTAAAAATACATCTGCGCCAGCCTAATAGATGAGGAAGGGGTGCGAGGCTGGTCAACAGATAGAATCTGTTTACCCCTTAAGTCTTTGCCTAGGAGGCCTTCTACAAGACAGCAGCTGGATGCATGTAACATCTGCCCAAGATGAGTATTTTTATCGAGACACCATCTCTAGCCTTTACTCAACCAAGAGCCCCAAGGCAGGGGGTGTTTTAATTCGGGGTTAACTTCTCCTAGCCTTTGCCTAAAAAAGCGTATCCTACAAGGCAGCAGGACATGGAGCAGGTTGTACTGGGTTACATGTTACCAGTAGCAGGAAAACCTGACCTGACCTGACTGATATATATATATATATATATATATATATATATATATATATATATATATATATATATATATATATACATATATATATATATATATATATATATATATATATATATATATATATATATATATATATATATATATATATATATATATATATATATATATATATATATATATATATATATATATATATATATATATATATATATATATATATATATATACAAACAATATAGAAATATTAATATAAAAAAAAATTTTGCTTGTCAATTATTTTATTTAACAAGTTTTTTTTTTTATAAAGCCTTTATATATATATATATATATATATATATATATATATATATATATATATATATATATATATATATATATATATATATATATATATTAAGGCGGTTCATAAAAAACTTTTTTTTGAAAATGTCCGCTCCAAAGTTGTTATTTTACTGCAATGGAGTACACATAGCTATATTCCAAATTTCATCAAAATCGGTTCATATCTTGACCCTCCTCCATTGATTTGAAATTTCTGACTTTGTGCAACAGGAAAAAGGCCCAAAGAACTACAATATTTTTCACTTTATCACAAATTGAGCAATATTAAGCAGGAATTTCAATGTTTTTAAAGAACAATAAAAGATGCAGAATTAAAAGTTATACAACATAATTTATAGTAAAATAAAAAAATATTTTTTATTAAGGGAAAATATGACTATTTTGGGATAAAATCCTTCTTTGATTCCTGCTTTGGATATTTGGCGCGATTCACCATTGATGTTTTTTATTGAATCCCGTCGCTTCGTACCTACTACCTTCTGACTGGCCTTTGTAAGAGATGAAAAAAGTTTGATGCCCAAAATTAAGTAGCAACTCTTTTTGCACAACAATATCCCCAAACTTTTAGAAATCCTTACATATTTGATTATCACAAATAAAATTACATTGTTTTTGTTAAGAAATTTGTATTTTTTACCTTGGTTTACCTATAGTTCTTATAGTTCTTCTATAGTTTCTCGTTTTAGCCCTGTAGAATAATGATTTTTTGATTTAATTTACACAGTCTGTGTCACATGTCTTGAAAAAAAAGGCAAATAGTAAATTCTGGCATTCTTTATATTAGTGAATAAAGCAGCAAATCAATGTTGGTGTTAAAGCTGCCAATTTAATATTAATATTTTAATTTAATATTAATATTAATTTTGTTTAATTATTTAAATTTTTATTTATAATTTAATGTGTAATTTAATGCAGTTAATTCATATTTTTATTTCAAAAAAAAAAAATTTAAAGCAGTTCATGCAATTTCTAGATATTAGGCTGAGGTATATTATTTATATTTTTAAATTTGTCTTCTGAAAAAAAAAAGTCCTCCAAACATAGACATGATGTTATACCATATTGGGTATGCCCAAAATGTTTTTTGGATACGTCATATATTTTTGTATACGATATATATTTTTTGTATATATTAAGCCATCCCAGAAGCGCATACTATCTCATGCCTTGTTTGTCCACATTTAAAGTAACTTTTTTAGACAACTTGGCTACGTTTTTATATTGTAAACGTTTTACGAATTTGCAGCAAAATAAAACTATAAGAAACTACAGAGAATAAAAACAGCAATATTTGAAGGAAACAAATTTTATAGAAAATAGAAAATCTAAATAAAATAAACTAAAAAAAATTGAAAATTAAAAAAAGAAAAGTGTTGTTAAAAAAATAATAAACCTAAAAATTTTTCATGTTTTTGTTTTCTTTTTTTTTAGGGCATTGAGGAAAAAAACAGATAAGAATATAACAAAAATAAAAACATTTTTTTTATATACAATTTATTCGCGACTTTTTTCATTCAGTATATTATGTAAATACTTAATTTTTTTTGTGCTAGAAATAAGGAGAATTTTAAAATTTGATTTTTAAATGTTAAACTTTATTGTTTTTATCAATGCACCGGAAAGCAAGAAAAGTAATTGCTATTTATTTGTAAAAAAAAAAAATAATAATTTAACAAGTTATTCTTGTTAAAAAATTTAATACTAATATTTAAATATACTTATTTATAGTAATTAACACTAATATTTATGTAATATTTAAAATATTTGGTTGTTTTCACTCCCCCATTGAAAAAGTGTGCACTTTAGTTGGATTTTTCTAATTATGCATTTAAACTTAATAGTTTATTTCCTGATGAACTATTGTTATTAACGATGCTCCAAAAGTTTGTGGACTAATGCATTGTTAATTAACTGAACTTTTTTAGCGGAATTTTTAGGAACCTATTTAAAACCTGTTCATTATCTTTCATAATTCGAGTAAACGTTAAAAACTTGACAATATAAAGGAAACAATTTCAGTCAGGTATCAAATGTGGTAAATACAATTATAAAATAAACCATGTTTTTCTCTATTTAATTTCTTTCATAATTACAAAATTAATCAATCAAAAAATATAGTTTACAAGTAAAAAGCAATTTATTTTCTTATTTTCCTATTATATAAGTATTGAGAAAAAGCATCAAATATAACAAAAACATTTTTAAAAGTAAAAAGACGTCAAAATGAATAAACGCTAGAAAAAAACGACATTTGATAGTAGATGACATTTTTGCTGCTTTTGGATTAGATATTGATGCTTTCTCCTTCCTCCATTTTATCAATAGTAACTTAACTTAATCTTGTTCACAAAAGAAAATAAGTCGAAAATCTCCTTTTTGGACATTAACTTATATAAAGCAAAGTCTTCCATACAAACTTCAATTTTTCATAAGAAAACCTATTCTGGTCTTCACACCTCATTTTATAGTTTTATTTCTCTGGTATACAAATTAAGTCTTATTAGATGCTTAATTGACAGAATGTTGAATATTAATAACAATAAACATGGCCTTCAATCTGATATAAATAAACTTTTTAAAATTCTAAAGAGAAATATGTATCCATTTCGATTAATAAGTATAGTTCACAACTCTTTTATGGAAGAAATCTCTAATACTAATCAAGTATTAGAATACAAAATATTTCAAACTTCCTATATCGAAAAATTATCGGAATTAACTAAAAAGAGATTAATTCATATTATAAAAAGACATTGTAAATTGTTTCCATAATGTTAGTTTTCACTTTATTTAAAATTTCTAATGTATTTTTACCTAAAGATCCAATTCCGATAGAGTTCAAATCATGTGTTGTGTATAAATTTGTTTGTGCAATATGTAGTTCTTGTTATATTGGCAAGACAGCTTGCAATCTAAAGACACGAAAGTACAATTGGCAAAATAATTAAAATTGCTACCTTGTATATAACAATAAATATTTTTCCATATTAAATTCTTCCAAAAATTTAAATTTAAGTTAAAGGAAAGTATGTATATAAAATGGCAAAAGCCAAATATGAACAAGCATTTATTAATCATGTTAAATTAACTCTCTCTGTTTAACTATATTGTATATATATATATATACATATATATATATATATATATATATATATATATATATATATATATATATATATATACATATATATATATATACATATACATATATATATATATATATATATATATATATATATATATATATATATATATATATATATATATATATATATATATATATATATATATATATATATATATACATATACATATACATATACATATACATATACATACATTTATATATATATATATATATATATATATATATATATATATAAATATTATCTGATTTTTGGATCTTGTTAAATTTGTTGATGGTTCTATAATTGTGTTTTATATTGTTTAAGAATGAAATTTAAGTTTGCTTTTTTATAGACGCTTTAGATAAAGCCACAGGCGATGATAGACAAAAGATGTTATCTTTAATTCAAGCACTTCAAACTCCATCTGCTGAAGCTTATACCAGCAGCTTTCCATCTCAACTTTCAAAGGAATCACCACTTTTTAATCCCAATTTTCAAGCAAGTAACAATCTTGTGTCTGAAAGTAACTGTCTTGTGCCTACAAAAAATGCCATTGACATGAGTGTAACATCTGGTGTTACTGGAGTTAAAGACACTGGTGTTGAAAATTTTGACAATCAAAAAGTTTTTCGTGGAGAATGTTTGGTATATATATTTTTTTATTTTTGTCAAGTTAAGATTTTTGTTTACTATGATTTTTTATGTTTTGTTTGGACAAGCTTAAATTTACTTAAAAAAACTTAGTTATGTAAGATTATTAATTTAAAAAAAAGATTATTAATTTAAACTGTCAACTTTTTTTAGTATTTTTTTTTTTTTTTTTAATGATAAATGGTTTAAAATAAGTGCATCAGAAATTTAGTGCTTTATCTCTTAAAAACATTTTTGAAAAAAGATTTTGATTAAGTTCATAGTTCTTACAATTGCAATTGATCCTAGTAATGTATTTAGTAGCATAGTGTAGTATGATCTATTTTTATTTATAATATTTTAAGTTATAATTGCAAACTAGTAGATAAATTTATAATGAATTTATGATAAAAAGTTGAATGATCAAAATATACTTATTATTAATTAACATAGCAAATATTATTTAGTAAATACTGCATTAATAAACACTACACACATGCCAAAAAATTCAATACACATACACACACATAACAAAAAATATTACACATATCAAACACATCCCCCAACAATTTAATAAACATACCACACACATAACACAAAATAGTTTAATACACATATCAAACACATCCCCCAAGATTTGAATAAACATACCACACACATAACACAAAATAATACACATATCACACACATCCCACAAGGACTGAATAAACATACCACACACATAACACAAAACAATTTAATACACATATCAAACACATCCCCCAAGAATTGAATAAACATACCACACACATAACACAAAATAATACACATCACACACATCCCCCAAGAATTTAATAAACATATAACAAGAAGTTAATTGTGAGTTATAGTTTTTAAAAGTGTATTAATATCACCATTACAAGTGTTTTGACTCTGAATATTTGTACTACAATATATTTCTAAATACATTTGCTATTCATGATATATATGATAAGATTTATATGTATGAAGAAATAATTGTCAATCAACATAATCAGGGAGCTGGGAACTAAAAGTCATTTTGAAGCTTGCTACTATTTCATCAAGATCAAATTTAAAATAAATTTTAATAATAAATATGTTGCTTTGATTGTATTAAATAAAAAAAAATTTTATATTTATTTATAAAATTGATTTTTATTTTTACTTAGACAAGTCAGTCAGATTTGAATGAAATGCAAAAAAAGAAAAAGAAAAGAAAGGGGTAAAGAGTATTGCTTTTTTTATTTAAGTGGATGACACTTTAAAATATCAATATAAGAAATTATTAGTGGTACACATTTCTTTATTAAATAATTTTAATCCACTTTTCTAGTTAATTTTTTTGACCCAATAATCATGCTGTTTTTAATAATCATGCTGTTTTTAATAATCATGCTGTTTTTAATAATCATGCTGTTTTTAATAATCATGCTGTTTTTTCAAAATCTTGAGCTTAATATAAATTATATTAGCTAAATTAAAAAATCATTATTATATATAAAGGATTTCAAGAAAACTATTGTTGCATATAAGAGATAATACCATATATAAGGATTTCAACATATATAACCATATATAAGGATTTCAACAAAATTTATAAAATAGTTTAAAATCCATTTTAAAAATCAAATTAATCAAATTATATTTTTGTTTAAAAAAATTTCCTAATAAGAGTTCAACTCTAAAACTTATTTTTATGATTAAGATTTGAAAACAGTTAAAAATCTATTTTTTCAGTTTAAAACTTATTTTTATGATTTCAAGTTACAGTTTGAAAACAGTTAAAAATCTATTTTTTCAGTTTAAAACTTATTTTTATGATTTCAAGTTACAGTTTGAAAACAGTTAAAAATCTATTTTTTCAGTTTAAAACTTATTTTTATGATTTCAAGTTACAGTTTGAAAACAGTTAAAAATCTATTTTTTCAGTTTAAAACTTATTTTTATGATTTCAAGTTACAGTTTGAAAACAGTTAAAAATCTATTTTTTCAGTTTAAAACTTATTTTTATGATTTCAAGTTACAGTTTGAAAACAGTTAAAAATCTATTTTTTCAGTTTAAAACTTATTTTTATGATTTCAAGTTACAGTTTGAAAACAGTTAAAAATCTATTTTTTCAGTTTAAAACTTATTTTTATGATTTCAAGTTACAGTTTGCAAACTCTATGGTATATGCAATTAATGGAATCAACTTCCCTGAGCTCCTAATTACAAAGTTGCTGCCTGGAGAAACAAATATAATCTTGATTTTTTTTTTTTACAGCAACCTGAAAAAGTATAGGACCCTTTTTCATGTTTTTTTTTTCTTTGCAATTGTGATGGGACTGATGTTTTTTTGCAATTGTTATGGGACTGATGTCTTTTGTCTTTGTTTTTGTTTCAGTGCTGACAATTTTCTTTTATCTCCAATGAAAGTTTTGCTTCCATTGTAATAAATTTAAGTAGACATTGAAACTTTTATTTCTTCTTGTCAGTTTCAACTCCATTCTCACTTTGGCTGGTAGTCTTCCTTACGCTACTGCTGTTCCTGGTTGTAATAATTTCTTTAATTTTTTTTTTCCAGAACAACTGTCTTGATGATTTTCTTTTAATCATTTGTGATGAACTGATACAAAAGATTATTGTCAAGCATTATATTGTATTAGATGAGATACAAGCTTTAATCCTATTATTATCAGATTACTAAAAATTTTTATCTCTGAAGTTTTTTATCTCTGAAGTTTTTTATCTCTGTTTTCTCTAGTATTGTCATTAACAAATGGAATATTTTTCAAACAAAAGTTTGACTTAATTAATCCAAAGGTTGTGTTATTTGCAAAGAACTTTTTCTCAAATTAATCCCTTGAATTAAATAATCACACTCTTCTAATAACTCAAACAAATAGATTAATCTCCTCCTGATGTCTCAGGCAAATAAGATAATCTCTTCCTGATACCTCAGACAAAGAAGTTGAATTCTCTTTGTTGTCTCAGACAAACAGGTTAATCCATTGTTAGGCATTTTACTTACACCAGCTTCCAGTGTTGTTTCTTATTTTAAACTGCTCTGCACCATGTGGTTCAGACAATATTCCTGTCACAGTCCTGCTGTGACAAGAAATATTGAAAAATGTGTTCTCCATTTAAATGTTCTCTGTTCTTAGTGCTTAATAAAATTTTGTATTTCTGCTTGCTAGAAATATTGTGTTAAATTGTTTAGTTTGTTGTAAAAATTCTGGTGATTGGTCACGATTCTTTTAACTATTATCAAATCAGTGTTTTTACTATTAGTAGGAAGATCTTTGAGTTTATTCATTAAAAAAGATATGGAAACCCACAATGTCACTGATAGTAACACAATTAACTTGTTTCAGTAACAGTGTTGAGCATTAATAAAAACAACAACAAAATAGCGTTGCAGTGGCAAAGTTTTTATACCTAAGCTTTAATGGGGCTAGGGAGCTATGACCTAAGCTTTAATTGGGGCTAGGGAGCTAGAAACTATTTTCCATACTAGACCTATATACACAGCCTTTACGGTTGTAATTTTTTGGCTTATCACTTTTTTTATTTTCTTCATATTTTATATTTATATTATTATCTTTACTTATCTAGATTGTGTGTTGCTTTTAATATATAGTGTATCACTCATGCAGTTTTTATCACTATTTGATTATTAGTTTAGTTATCACTATTACTTACAACTATGACTTAAATACATAAATACAGTTACATACATAACTGCTGTTTCCAAGGGAGAGTGCTTTTGTTTCCTGTACATATCTGAGCTAGCTTTTAGAACCAGAAGATAGTATAAATCCTATTTATGGATGCTTTATCTATCTTAGGTAATTTGTAGTATGGCTGGGTTGGCTAGATGTGTTTTCAGATTAGAAGTTTTCACATTGATTTCTAGTAATATAACTATAATACTTTACTCTATTGTACTCGGACATTCAATAATTTCTTCGACAACCATTGGTATGTGTGTCTATCTATGAATATGTATGTATATAAGTATCATATTATTTTTCTGTTGAGAATAATTAGTGTTAGACTAGTTAGCTATGACTGTATTGTCACGTGAACATACTTTAAAAAAGTGTGTGTATGCATGTGTGTGCATATATATATAAAAATGTTGGTTTTTAGGTTGTCATTTTTTATACATATATAGTTTTTTTCCCTCCTACGTAATTTTTGTAATTTTATGTTGTAATGGTTTTGTTTACTGTTTTTGTCGTTATTGCTATGCTTTATTTAAAACCTGTTTTTTAATTGGTTAGTAACATTCGGTCTAGGCATCTATGGTGGCGTTAACATTTTTATGGTTTTGTTGTTTTTATAATTTCATATAATTTTAGCTACTTGTTGTATTTTTTAATAAATTTTTATCTAACAACATTTATCACATTGGTAGTGTATTTAAGTATTTTGTGGTTTTCTATAAGAATAAATTTTATTATTTTATATTATCATTTACATTTTAGTTTATTGTTTTTTGTTATTTTTGTTTAAAAACTTTATTTATGTTTTATTTTATATATTTATCTTATTATCTTATATATATTTTATTTTATTTTAAATTTGTTTTATTATTTGGTTTTGAATTCACTAGTCTCACTAACTGAGGTTAGGGATTTGGCTGTTTTGTATTGAAGTCCTTTTTTAATGCAGCATGGAGTAGGCGTAAATTACAGGGTAAAGCATAAATAGCAATGATGTTTATCTGACAGGATAAACTAGGTATTGGTGTTGAGCCTCTTCGAAACGCCGGTAATAATAAACGCGATTCTGAGGTTAAAATTTATTACCAACACTACATAAATTATGATTACACAAAAGCAATAATGTTTTTTCTTTATCTTATACCTCCTATGAATTTATATCTATTCATTTTAAATACTTTTATATCTATACATATGTATTTTTATTTTAAATATGTTAAACATTTGTATTTACTTTCGATTCATGGACACTTATGTGTCCTGTTTTTTATTTATTACATTTCTTTTACATGCGTGATGTCTAAATTATCATTATTAGTTTTTACTACAGTATCTTTGTTTTTGTTCTGAACATCTGTTCAATATATATTTTTAATTATTATATCCTTTCTCTTTTCCTAAATTTTTCCTTATTTCACTTGGGTTTGACAGCTCGGTCTAGTCCTTTAATGCATATTTTTGCATTTTTAAAGTCATTTTGTCAAAAAATAGTTACCCAATTTGCATATTAAGGTATCGATATGCATACTTTAGTTAGTTTTCCGTTTTAAAAGTCATATTAGTTTGCATATAAAGGTATCGATATGCGACATCATTAACAAAATGATTATTTAGTTATTAATTTATTGATAGCTTTTCTTTAATTTTAATTGAAACACAACTACTATTGTTGCTGTTATAAATTGCTTTTTCTTTTTATAGCTTTTTTTCTTCGTTTTTATGGAAACGAGAAAAAAAGCCAAAATCAGCAATAGTTGAAGCATCGTTATCTATGCTTGTACAAGCAAGTCCTCAGGTAACTTTATTTGTTTTTCTCTATTTTTTAAATTATTAAGAAATTCTAAATGATTGCTCACACTTTCTAGGTTTAATTTAAATTCTTAAAAGAGTTAAAATATGTTGTATTATAAATAATATGTTTTTGGTAGAATTCAACTTTGATAGAGCAACAGAAAGTTTTGGTTTGAATCTTTAAAGTGACAAGTTCACAAAACTGACAAAAGTTTTACTAAATATAAGTTTTGTAAAAAGTTTAGAAAATAATTTTTACAGATAATTTTTTTTTTTGTTTAATTTTTTTTAGGGCATGATCAAAATTTTTTATCAATCTTCTAATAACAAAGTGCATGTTAACTTATTGATATCTTTTAATACATTGTCTTGTGAAGTTTGTAAAATGTCTTTGGAAGCACTTGATCTGATTGAAGATTTTAAAACATTTTATATTGCAGTTTGCAGAATGGATGGAAAAGGTTGGGATTTAATATATAATGAATATTAAATAGATTTTTAAAATGATTCTGCAATATTAAATATTGATGAATACTTCAGTATTGACTAATGAGTTAATTTGTGATCAGATAGTATCTGTTTATGTAAATGAATGCGTATTTAAAAATGATTATAATTGTGTTCAACAAAATCTCTTTTTCAAGCTTAGAACAGAGCTGGTCTTGAATCTGATCTCACTTCAGTAACAGATTGGGGCTTGCAGCAACATTAGTATTAATCATACATACAATCGATTGCTAAGTCAGCATCTCCTATGGTTGCGCCTCTTTATTGTGCTTGCCTCTTATTCCATTAACCAAAACTCGTTCTTGCTCTATTAGTAAAGTCTCATCCTTTTACTGTATCTG